CCGAGACTTGGGTCCACATTAAATAGGAAGTTCTCTATAATCTCTTCCTCCGACCACTGACTCCGGCTGGCGTGAAGCTCCCACTTCTCGAGATATTCTGTGATACCATAACCCCTAAAGGCAGGAGGCTCTGAGACCTTGTGCGTAATAATATACCGGTCCTTGCTCTCGTAAGGGAGCGGATGTGACTCCCCTGTCTGGGGGTCGAAGACTCGCCTGGGCGGCGCCCTGTCTCTATCTTTGTCCCTCCAGTAGGAATCCCTCAAATTCTCTCTCCAGTCATCTCTGTACCTGTCTGCTATGGTGTCCCTCCTTTGCTCGTACTTGGGGGAGCGCCACCTCATCGCTTCTCGTCGTCCGCTCGAGGTACCCGTCTTTAGAGCCTCCAGCAGCTCTCTCGCAACGGGTTCGCCTCTCATGTCGGGTCCTCCTTCATTGGTTTGGTCGCCCCATCTCAGCGGTGCTTCTTGCCTAATTCGTTCCTTCAGATCCCTCAGTGCTCGATCGGGCGAAGCCCTGTACTCCTCTCCCGCTTCGCCCGTGGTCGGTTGTGGCCCCATCGTGTCGGGTTCCATTGGACCGCCAGAAGATGTAGTCGGGCACTTACGCCAGACATTACAGCCCAGACCTATGACAGTTGGAGCAGCCCGGACCTGTGACAGAACTCGCGGCCCCGACCTGGTGTCAGAACCTGCAGCCCAGACCCAATGTAAGGACTGGCAGCCCGGATCTAATGTTTGATCCGGCAGCCCGGACCTATTGTCTTATCCGGCAGCCCGTTCCTATTTGTGAACAGTCCCTTATGTCCTAACAACTACGCTAGGAACTTCTTCGGTTGGGGCGTTGGGCTGGCTTAAAATTAGAGCTTACGGACAACAACCCGGCCCAATTTTGAGTTGCCCATGGGCGCCACAAACCCTGGTTAGCAGAGCCCAGGAGAAGGAGTGAGCGGGAGGGCCCCAACCCTGATCAGCGGCACCCTGCAGTATGCAAAAAGCTTAATGAGAAAGGCGGGCGGGATGGGGGAACACCTCTAACAGCAAACTATCATATGAGAAAAGGAAGACTCGGAATAGTCAGAAATAGGGATGAGAGAGAAACTCAATTGACATTGGTAGAGAGAAGTACATAAGGAATTAGAACGAGGGCGCGATGACAGCCTAACTGGGACTTTCCGCAGATCGACCGAGCCCTTGCGACTCGGAGCCGCACTAAAGTCGTACTAATCCAGACTGATCTAAAAAGGAAAGGGTATTGAAATCCCGGTTTCGGATTGGCCTATAGGTCTTATATTCGAGTTCCCTCGAATATAAGGTGTGGGCTCAACTCGAGGGAGTTTTGTTCACTGCACCCTCGAATAGATATCCGAGCAACGGACCCTGTCCCCTAGTCAAAACCCAAAATTAAGAGCCGAGCGTACTCACTCTTTGAATTTTTAAGCCTTTTTCGCAATTTTAAGAGATTTATAATCGTCTAAATTAATAAAAATTGCTTATAAACAAGAAGAAAACACTACCTCGTGCTCAGCGCATAGGAGGATGTAATGAAAATCCTAGCGAACCGCGAGTTATGCACGTGCTTCCTTCTACCCCTTGCTGTTGATTTAATCTGAATATTTGATAAATAATTATAAAAAAATAACTTTAATAACTGAAAATTTCCGTCACTTGCCTCAGGTCTTTGGGAACAAGCCAGTAGGTTCACCCGAACCTAGGTTACCGCAGCGTCTCTTTCCCTTCTTCCTCTAGGGAATTCTTTTATATTTTCCAATTATAAATTAAAAAAAATATATTTAGTTGAGATAAAATCTTTTTTTTAGTTTATATATATTAAGGATGAATACATATATAAGCCCGCCGAGTT